TCTGCTGAGCGGGGCAGGCGGCGGGTGCGCCTGTGTTCTCACAGCCGAACTGCCCCTCCTACGCAGCATGAGGCCCGTATCTTCTATCGGACCAACTTCTCTGCCGAGCGGGGCAGGTCCGACCGCAGCAGCTGCGTCAGTCCTCGAAGACAGAGGCTGATGGTAAGAAAACCCGTAAGTGACGCTTTTCATTCGGGACGTGGCTAATTTACAGCCCGAACCAGATTGGGCATGTTCTGAGAGTTGGGTCATTGAGAATATTTTAGCCCCGTCCAACGCGCGCGTAGCCCTTATCTAAGGGCTCCAAAGGGTGCTGCACCCCGGACCTGCCGGCGGACGTGGTTTGATACAAGCTACCAGTAGGAAAGCACAGAAGGCGGGGAAAGGTTTGACAGCTTTGCGCTGTGAACAGCTTTGACCCGACGGGAGACAGCGAGTTGAGCGCCCAGACAGCGGAAGTCCGGCCTAGGGATGTGGGGTCTGTTCCCCGCACTGCCTCACGCTGGAGGCGGAAGGTTGGTGGTCGCTTCTCTGCATGCCGATCCTCCCCCCCCCCCACCGCCATCAAAGAAGGGCAGCATTCCCCTGCCCCACAGCGACCAGCAGCTGACCCTCATTGGAGGCACGTAACCCTCCCTTGCCCCAAACACCCCCATTGTTACCACGAGTTCATCGAATCCAATCAAGGGACGGGATTACTCCCCTCTTATGTAGGACTGCCCAGAGCTCCAGTAGAAGAGCCCTCGACAGGACGTCTAATCCAGCCCCCTGCCAAAGCAGGAGCAACTCCAGCCAAATCAGCCCAGCCAGGGCTTGGTCAAGCCAGGACTTAAACACCTCTCGGGATGGAGATTCCACCCCCTCCCTAGGGAACCCAGCCCAGCGCTTCCCCACCCGCCTAGGGAAATAGTTTTTCCTAATCTCCAACCTAGATCTCCCCCACTGCAACCTGAGCCCATTGCTCCTTGTTCTGCCACCTGCCCCCACTGAGAACAGCCTCTCTCCATCCTCTTTGGACCCCCCTGCAGGGAGTTGCAGGCTGCTCTCAAATCCCCCCTCACTCTGCTCGTCTGCAGACTGAACAAACCCAAATCCCTCAGCCTCTCCTTCCTGTCGGGGGCGGGAAAGGGGGGGCCCAGAACTGGACACAACACTCCAGATGTGGCCTCATCAGAGCCGAATAAAGGGGAATAATCACTTCTCTGGATCTGCTGGCAATGCTCCTCCTCATGCACTTAATATGCCATTAGCCTGTTGACTCATCTCCAGCTTCTCACCCACTGTAACCCCCGGGGCCTTTTCTGCTGAACTGCTACTTCGCCGGTTGGTCCCCAGTCTGTAACAATGCTTGGGATTCTTCCGTCCCAAGGGCAGGACTCTGCACTTGTCCTTGTTGAACCTCATCAGATTTTTTTTGGCCCAATCCTCTAATCTGTCCAGGTCACTCTGGACCCTTCCCCGCCCTCCAGCATATCTACCTCTCCCCCCAGCTTAGTGTCATCTGCAAACTTGCTGAGGGTGCAATCTATCCCCTCGGCCAGGTCATTAATTAAGATGTTGAACAAATCCAGCCGCACGACCGATCTGTCGGTTGTGTTTGCAAGGCTTCTCCCAGTACTGGTTTGCAGCGCGGCCTTGTGGACCCAACACGCTACTGAGACTCAGGAGAGCTGGGCTCTAGTCCTGGTGCTGCTGGTGGCCTTGGGCAAGTCACTGCCCCACCTTGTGCCTCAGTTTCCCCACCTGAAAAGTGGGGGCCACGCTGCTGACCTCTTGGTAAAGGGCTTTGGGATTTACTGATAGGATGGACAATAGGGGCAGGTCTTCACTACAGCGATCGGCACGAGGTGGTGCCCAACCCAACACCCCTCCACAGACGCCAACTGTCGCGCTGGAGCGGCAGATGGAGGGAGCCCCGCAGGGAGCGGGCCTGGCTCTGTGCAGTGTTCTCAGCAGGGATTTACACCAGGGGCCACTGACCCACCATAACCATCAGTCGTGGGACACACACAACCCTGCAGGGGAGTACAGAGGCTCAGGGATTCCCCTATGTCCCAGGGGTTCAGGGTGCAGGACCAATCTCAAAGCTGGGGTGGGGAGAGCATGGTCTGGGGGGAGTTAGGGAGACGACTTTCCCTTTCCTAGTTTCTCTCCATTTCGTGCAAACTCTTTAATCGGAGGGTCAGGGCAGTTAAGAGTGGAAAAGACATATCAGTCGATATCAGGTCAAACCGGCCATCCCCAGAGGGGACTGTAGGATTGTTCCACATAAAATAATTTTGAGGCCTTTGTCCAGTTCAGTTTTTAAATGTCCCAAGGGACTAAGCTTCCACCATTTCCTTTGAACAAAGTTTCCACCCTCTAATTGATTTTGCTGCTAAGAACTCTGGTGGGTTCCCAGAAGGCAGTTTGGTTTCGTTTGCTCCATTGGGAACTCACATTGTGCAGCCTTCTTGATCTGGAGCTCCTCCGGTGCATTAAATCCCCAAATTGGTGCCACTACAGAAAGCATGACGAGTCCCCCTTCCCTCCTCCCAAAAGGATGTGGACACATTAGAGACAGTCCAGAGTAGGGCACAAAAATGATTAGGAAGCAGGGCACATGACTTATGAGGAGCAGCTGAGGGATTTGGGTTTATTTAGTCTACTGAAGAGAAGCATGAGGGGGGATTTGAAAGCAGCCTTCAACTACCTTATGGAACATTCCAGAGAGGATGGAGAGAGGCTGTTCTCAGTGGTGGCAGATGACAGAACGAGAAGCAATCATCTCAAGTTGCAGCGGGGGGGGTCTAGGTTGGATATTAGCAAAAACTGTTTCCCTAGGCAGGTGGGAAGTGCTGGGCTGGGTTCCCTAGGGAGGGGGTGGAGTCTCCATCCCTAGAGGTGTTTAAGTCTCGGCCTGACAGAGCCCTGGCCGGGTTGATTCAGTTGGGATTGGTCCTGCCTAGAGCAGGGGCTGGATTGGATGACTCCTGAGGTCTCGTCCAGCTCTAGGATTCTATGAGTGGGAAGGTTCCAGCCTTGGTCAATGGGGATGTAGGGTCTGGGGGAGTTAGGTGGGTGTGGGGGTTCCAGCCTTGGTCAAGGGGGATGTAGGGTCTGGGGGAGTTAGGGTGTGGGGGGTTTCAGCCTTGGGTAAGGAGGGGTGCAGAGTCTGGGGGGCCTCAGGGCAGTGCATGAATCATGAGTTTCCCTGTTCCCATCCTGATTGTCCATTGGCGTTCCTGCACCCAGGGTCCACAGGGAGCCAGCCTAGTTCCCCCTGCAGTGGGGCCCACAGCACGTCTCCATGGGACAGGCCGGATCACAGCACGCTGGAGGTTCCCCTCCCCGATTTGGATGGGGGCTCAGAGGACTCATTAAATTTGCAGCTGACACCCAGCTGGGAGGGGCTGCAAGGGCTTTGGAGGGTAGGGTCAAAATCCCAACTGATCTGGACGATCTGGACACATGGCCTGAAATAAAGAGGATGAAATTCAATAAGGACAAATGCCCGGTGCTCCACTGAGGAAGGGGCAATTAACCGCACCCACAGCGGTGGCATCTTCAGGGGCATGATGCCGTTCTCCTCCACGGCCGCTGAAGATCCTAGTCAGTGGGCATCCATTGACCACGTGTGATCTCCTCTCCCGCCAGATCACCAAGTCGACACAAGCCAATAGTGCACGGTGGTTACAAGAAGCCAACGGCATTCTGGGCTGTGTTAACAGGAGTGTCGTGAGCGAGACACGAGAAATAATTCTGCTCCACGCCGGCCTCACCTGGAGCACTGTCCAGTTCTGAGCCCCGCATTTCAGGAACGCCGAGAAGGTCCAGAGAAGAGCAACAGAAACGACTGAAGGTCTGGAAAACACGATTCGTGGGTTTGTTTAGTCTGGAGAAGAGACGCGTGTCAGGGACAGAACAGTTTTAAGTACCCGAAAGGGTGTTACAAGGAGGAAGAAGGAAAATTATTCTTAACCTCCGAGGACAGGACGAGAAGCAAGGGGCTGACACAGAAGTAAGGGAGGTTTAGGTTGGGCATTAGGAAATCAGACTCAGAGAATCCCAGGGTGGGCAGAGACCTCAGGTGCCATCGAGTCCAACCCCCCGCCCAAAGCAGGACCAACCCAACTCAATCAGCCCAGCCAGGGCTTGGTCAAGCCGGGACTTAAACACCTCTAGGGATGGAGATTCCACCCCCCTCCCTCAGTCCCCGTGAGGGCAGGAGACTGACTAGACCTCTCAAAGACCCTCCTGTCCTAGCGGTCTACGTGCAGGCCGAGCTGATCCCACGGGGCCAGGCAGGAGGCCAGCTGACGCGTCAGGTAGCAGTGCAGTGGAGTTGGGTTAGCACAGCACATCAGCTGCTCCTCGGTCACTCTGGGCTTGCTGGCACTGCGCGCGTCGGGATGCTCTGATTCATCCGGCTGGGAAAGGAGCCTGGCGAGGCACCGAGGGATCAGCTGCACACAGTAACGGACAATGCACTGACCCCTCTGAGTCAGGAAGGAGCCATCGGGAAAGGGAAAGGCAGCTTCCTCTTCTGCTTCTGTTCTGAGTAGCGGCCCTTTGCAAGGTGCATGCAGCCAATTCTCCAGAAGGAAGACCGAAAAGCCACACGCCCAGCCTGCTAGTGGGGCGCATACAGCCACACGGCGCTGGGAAAATCCATCGCCAGCAGCATCTGATCCAGTGGCGGTTGCCATGCGGCTCTCCATCCTGTGAGCTGCCAGAGAACACACCCGAGCGAAGCAGCGGGAGGCTACAAATCAGGAATGTCTCTCTCCGCAGACACCCGCAAGGCAGAACGTACGTGAAACACGGAGCACTCCTGTAACTGCAGGTCAGGCGTCACACCTGGAGGAAAAGGTCCCACAGCCTCTCCCAGCCCCTTCGCCCCGAGGGGAAGAGCATCTCTCCCCCTTGTTCAGGGACGGTTTGCATCCTTGGCGAGCGCGTGCAGCACGCAAGAGGCAGCACCACTTTTAAACAGGGGGAGGCAAAGGCACAGAAGGGACTGATGCTAAAAGAGAATTTATTCAAGACTGTACTACCATTTTCTAAACCAATGGCACAGACAATGATTAAAAATAACAATAGCTCGGAGCTTTGAAGACCATTATTATAATACGTGTATAGACAGCAACAGAGCAGGTATGAGAACTCGACAAGCAGGCCTGTGGAGAACACGGTTCATATCATACAGCTGTACAAATGTCAGAGAAAAATAGAAAATAAAATACAAAAGGAATCACCCAAAATGCAGTCCTTGACTTTATTGACAGTGTTACAGTACGTTATGCGCCAGGACTGGCTCATTCCACCTTCTGTTTTCAGAGTGCTCGCTTGGCTGCAAATAGGAAAGAAAAGAAAAGTCTCAAGTATAAATCCCAATCTTTACCTGCCGGGCTTAGAAATATCCGCTAAAAGCCAACCCGGCTGTCTCTGTGATCATCTTTGCTCAAAACTTTGCATTTTACAAGAAAAAATTGGACACTTCTTTAATCTAGTGCAAAAATATTTCCCGTGGTGACATGAATTCACAGAATGACGGACAGTCCTACCACCGGCAAACCATCCTGTGCATGGCTAACAGCAACCTCGAGATCGAGGGAAAAGCCCCTCCCCTTCTCCGACTCGTGTGATTGGACAGTTCTTTGTGATGGGCACATGCTGTGCCTGCCCCCGTCGGGTCAGTCCCTCCGGGTATATAGCAGGGAACCCTCAGCCAAGCCACCCGAACCCATGTGAGTGACCTCTTGTAAATACTGCGCTGCCAGCTCACACCCAACGCCCCTGGGCTTGCCTGGTGTCAGCCCAGCATTGGGCACCCGTTTCATTTGTCATCCCCATACTTGCGCCGGGGCCCCACATGTGGCTCTTGGAATCAGCTAGCAGCCTGCGACAGCGCAACGCCTTACACAGCTGGGGTCTGCTCCTGTTCAGCTGGGCAAAGGCTCGTCCTGCCTCCACTCACAGCCGCGTGGTCTGGGTCACTCATTTGGTCTCCGTTCCACCGGCAGATCACCAAACCACGCGGCATCAGAGGTACCCACATGGCAGGTACCAGCGTTCTCAACACCAGCCCTTCCTTGGGCAGCTCAGCAGCATGGGGAACAGCCGCGCTTCCCAACCCCCGAAAGCATCGCTCTCCTCCCGACCCACGCTGGGGAGGTCGGGCCCATGGCTTGATCCTGAAGACGTTTCAGGTCTGCCGACGCCAATGGCTAAAACTCACCGTGTCCCCTCTCTACACACGCCAGTGTGCCCCGCCCAGACAGAAAACCATTTTGCACAGAGCACAACGCACGTCTGAGATACACAGGGCGTCGTCTCCTCCACGTTGCCTTGCCCAGCACTACAAACTAACGCAGTCACAGCAGACTGGGGGGCTGTCTCCCGCACGGCTCGTGCACTAGCGGCGCTAACACAGGCGAACTGAAAAACCTTTTGTAATTAGGAAAAGAAAAGTCATTGAACACTCGCACATGTTGGCACAAGGAAAATGAGGAGGGGATGTTCCGCGCTCAGCTCAGGTGCCTTCTTCCACGGAGCGGGACTCCGATTTCAACTTGACAAACTCTCTGGCCACTTCGTCATTGGTGCGCTGCGAGAGAATCCTCAGGACCGTGAGCCCCGTCTCGTCCATGTGAATCCTACGCCCCAGTGGGCACCAGCAAGCACAGCTCCCTTTGTCCGCTATGTCCCGGAGCTGCATCACGGCTATCCCCAGGACCCGATCCTCCCGGGCAAAGCAGTAATCCTTCACGCAGACCTGGAGCTCATAGGCATCCGGGCCATCTTCATTCCCCAAGATGCTGAAAAGGAGACACACGAGTTACTCCGAGTCAAGCAGAAAGCACAGTGTCACGCCAGGAATATATCGACGCCCTGTCCACACTTTCCAGCTCTGAGCCTGGCAACGAAACTTCACTTCCAGAGGAAACTGCCATCAGAGCAGAGCATCAGAAAGGGGCTCTGCAAAGCCCACACAAGGGGCCTTGCTTCGTAGGGGAGACTGACAACCTGACTTTTTAAGAAGGAATTTTCACTCTCTGCTTGTTTTTCATGTGGGAAAGGCAGGTCCTGTCTAGCCCCGAGTACTCGATGGCAATGGAGAACAGGGGAAATGGCGATGCCATGAGAGCTGAGAGCGTGAAATTGGAGCTCCCGTGAGAAGGGATTTTTACCCAGAGCACTGAAAACCGACACTTGGCCGAGACCCTCACAGACTCCCGCTGGCAAACTAGAAACCCAGAGGCTTCCCCTCAGCAAGACCTCCCGCAAAACCGGGACGTAACCTTCCTGACCCTTGTACGGTAAAAAAAGCAGACGCCTCTCTCCGCCGTTTCCAGCCTCCCTCACGATGCAACAGGAAAGAGACGGGCTGATTCCCCGTGTAACCCCCTCTCTGACTACCAGTGGGATGAGGACCAGGCTACTGCCCGGTGTAAGGCCTTGAGAGGGCAGGTCCCTTGCATTACCGGGAGGCCACGGAGCAATCGTGCATTTCTAGCCGCTGGAGAAGACGGTATCCCTGGAAGCAGCTTTGGAGGCAGCTTGGCCCATGTGGCAAGTAAAGGGACAGACTTTTGCTCTCACAGGAGAAAATTTCAGCCTCAACTCTACCAATAAAACCGAGGCCTCGTTGCAATAACGGACCCTAAGAACGCAGGGGGGTGCACAGCAGAGCCTGTCAGACGTGTTTCTGGCCATAACCGACAGGCGCTATGCACACGAGCCGTGAACCGACACATCTGGCCCCGAGAGCAGCGTTCCAGCAGCAGCCCCTCAGCACTCCCATGGCGAGCTGGTTCCTCACGCCACGATATCAGCCCAAAGACGCGTCTGCTGCTCCTGGTTGCCCTACTGGCATCAACAGGTCATTCTATTGCACTAGGCTGCCTGAGCCAGCAGCCCCTCAGCACTCCCATGGCGAGCTGGTTCCTCACGCCACGATATCAGCCCAAAGACGCGTCTGCTGCTCCTGGTTGCCCTACTGGCATCAACAGGTCATTCTATTGCACTAGGCTGCCTGCGCTTGGAGGACGGGATCCCCGGGCCGGGCCGCCTGCACTCGGGGGGACGGGGGGAG